TTGGGTATCGTACCCATTCTGTCCGTACCTATTTCGAGCGTCCAGATTCCTCCTCTGAATCACGGTTGGCGGCGGGGGGGACTGAGTTGGATACGCCCCGACCAAAACGGTCAGGAATGGAGATAAATGCAATCTGCACAAAATCGGTCCCCGCCGCTCCCGGGTCTCGGGCGGGTGCTAATGGGGGATGGCCCAAATTGGGGGGTGAAGAAAAGGACCCTAAAGGTGCCCTTTAGGGTCCTTTTTGGACCCCTGCTGGCCCCTAAAGGCCCCCAACAGGGGCCCTTGAGAGGGTCTTTAAGGCATTTTTCTCGCCCAAGGGTCAATCTGGTGTGGTCTCGGGGCCCGACGCTGATCCCTGGAGGCCGAGACGGACAAACAAAACATCCTCGAACCCAACCACCTCGAACCTGCCCCCCTTCCCGCTGGCCGGAATCCGTGCTGGGGCCACCTCAGGCCCCCCCAGAACACGAAAACGACAGAGGGGGCAACGGGTATCAGCACCTTGTCCTTGGACGCCCGAATTTGGTACGGAAACAATGGGCACGATGCCCAAAAGCCAGTGCTGTCCAAAACCGACACCGGCCGCTGTTGGGCAGGCGACCTTCTGTCTCAAATGGACAACATTCGCGGCAACGCCGACAACGAGCCCTGTCCAAAATGGACAGGACCTGCTGTCAGTCTTCGTACCCATTCTTTATGCACCCATTTCGATCATCCCGAGCTTCATCCTCTGAGTCTTGGCGGCGCGCACCAGGGGGGCCTAAGGGGAGCGGGGGGGAGGCTCCTTAGAAGGAGGCTGCTTCTCTCTGTAGACATGAGGCCCGCGCCTTCCAAGAAGCAGCCTCCTGTTAAAGAGCCTCCCACCCGTCCCCCTCCTCCTCCTCCTCCTCATCCTCCTCCTCCTCCTCTTCCCTCCTCCTCCTCCTCCTCCTCCTCCCTCCTCCTCCTCGTCCTCCTCCTCCTCCTCCTCCTCCTCCTCAATCCTCCTCCTTTTCTTCCTCAGTCCTCCTCCTCCTCCTCCTAAATCCTCCTCCTCCTCCTCATCATCCCCCTCCTCCTTCCATAAGTCCACCTCATCCTCCTCAGTCCTCCTCCTTGCCCCCCTCTGCGCGTGGCCGAGCATCTTGCTGCGGCCCCGCTGCTGTTCCCCTGTCAGGCTCGGCCCGGTGGCTCGAACCCAGGGGGCCGGGCGGAACGCGCCGAGAGGCCTCCTCGGATGCGGGCGACGCGGGCCCATCCTCGGGGGGAAGGGGAGCGGGGGCGATGATGGAGGGGGCGAGTAGCCCAAGTAGAGGCCTCCTGGATGGGGTCCGAATAGATGGGGTCGAACGGTCGCGCCGCATCCCCGATACATCGGCGATATATCGGCGATGCATCGGCGATGTACAGGCGATGCATCGTCAACGTGGGCGATGCATCGGCGACGTCGGCGTCAAGAAAATCGGGCTCCGCATCGAGCCGCATCGGCGATGCATCGGCGATGCGGCGCGATCCTCCGACCTCATCTACTCCGACCCCATCTAGGAAGCCTAAACCAAAGGGAGAACAGTACATGGCGGAGTCTGGAAACCTTGAACCCCCAAAACATTGCCATCTCTTGGGGCGCAGGCTTTGCTTGAGCCACCTTCCGCCACCCTCCGCCGCCCATCCGCCAGCGACCGCCGGCGGAGGCGGCCTCGTTTTGCTTTTCGTCGCCTTCAGCCGATCCTCGAAGACAAACTCGATTTTTGGACGCCCCACGTGTACACGCCGGTCGGACAAATATGTAAAAACATGAAATAGGAAGGCGGATGGAGAACATTGGGTTAAGGCCCTCCCAGAAAGAGCCAGGCCCTCCCAGAGAGAACAAAGAAACGTAACCATATGTTAACTGCAATGCACGAGGCCGGCCCGATAAGTCTGGGGGGGTGATTCGGTTATAATCTAATTTCTTGTACGACAAGAGAATTCACCAATGCTCGCAGTGAGTTGTCAACTCCACTGCTCGCGCAATCATCCCACCCACCTACCTGAAACCTGGCTTGCAAAACCCATGCGACGGCGATTGCGATGACTGCTCGGCGTTGGCTGGCGCTCTTCTGCGGCCGCGCTAGCCCGTGCATGCTCGCGCGCAGCGACCAACTAGTGCGGCGCGACCGACGTGGCCGCGGTGGCGCTGACCGCTGGGAACTTCCAGCGGGCGCATCAATGCGAGTCGGTGCCTTGGGCGGGCGCGGTATCGTGGCGACGCCGACAATTGTATAAACGATGCTGAGAGTAGCGATGATGGTGACGACGATTGCGATGACGAAGGCCAGGCCAATGACGGTGCCGATGCTGATCGCGCCCGCCGATAACGATGACGACGTCCTCGCGTCGGTGATGAAGGCTTTGGAATTTGAAAGGAGTTCGGCATGCACGCGCTGCCGACGCGTGTGGTATTATCTGACACGGATCGTGCCCCCCCAGGACGCGCGTAATGGCGTTCCGATGGGTTCGACATGCGGCGCTGGAGGCCCGGTTGGCAGAATGTGATGTCACTGTTGAAAAAAAACGATGGTGTTCTTAATTGCAAGAGCGCGCGCTCAGGATCTTTTTGGAAAAACTGACGTTGCAAAACCAAACTGTTGCGACACATTAAGCTTGTGAAGAAATCTCGGCATGCGCGCGCAACGACGCACGCGTATGCACTTTGTCCAATTCTTGCCTGGGATTCTTGCGACACAACGCGCGCAAAGGGCGTTCGAACGATTTCGACATGCGCGCGCGAGAGGCCCATTTGGTAGCATTGTGTAAACATTTTGAACAACATATGGCTTTCTTAAGAATCTGCAAGAGCGCAAACGCCAGATTTCTTGAACATCGAAACCATGTGTTGTTTATGTCTTCGTGACAATAGGTTTGGAACTTTTCGCGGGACCTAAGATTTCCAGACAATGTGTGCATGCGCGCGAGACGACGCGCCCGTGTGCATGTCACCCCATTTGTTGCAAGATATTCTTGGAAACTGATGATTTGTGATGCACGAGTGCGCGCGCATGGATTCTTCTGAAAATATATAAAGGAAATTCGATACTGGCCTGGCTGGGATGGTATGAATTCATATTCGGATGGACGATGGGGCAGAGCGGTATGAAATTGCGATACGAACAGGGTGGCGGATATTTCCTGGGGGGGGAGTAGATCCTAATATAATCAGAAAAAACCAACAATCAATCATGCGAGGCCGTGACGAGGCGGCGACGGCGACAACACAGCCGACAGACCGCTACAATGGCTCAGACGACGGGCGGCGACGAGGCGGCGACGGGGCGGCGACGGCGACAACATAGCTGCTAGACCGTCACACACGCCCAGGCGAATGGGCGGCGACGAGGCGGCGACGGGGCGGCGACGGTGACAACATAGCCGCCGGACCGCCACACAGGCCCAGTTCCGTAGAAAAGCAAATAAAGTATCCTAAATGCAAGCGCTGTTTGAGGAACGTCGCGAAGCATCAAGACCAGGGCCCTGTACAACATCTCTGTGCGGAAGCTTTCGAGCCCGATCGATACGTGATGGCCCAGGGCCCCGAGACGCGGCGAGAAAAACAGACCGCGAGGAATACGTTGGTCACCTGGATTTCAATGGCTGTGGGAAAACTGCTGGGAGACAGCTCCCAAGAGAGGTCTCCGTAAGAAAGACTACCGGCTGATGTGCCCGATCTGGAGCACACTGAACCGGAGTATGCCCGATTCCGCCCGGGACTGAGGCTGACGAAGCGGGATTGAACGGGACTGTGCCAGATTAGGCTGGTTTTCGACCGCGGATATCCCGAATTCAATGCGAGGTCCCGAGAAGTCCCGGCCTCTTTCCCCGAGGCCTGTTTTCTCCTCCCCGGCAGATTTTTGACAGTCCCTGGGCCCAGCGAGGCCTCCTCGGGGGCCCAAAACGGCCAAAGGGTCTGCCGCTGGGAGTCCGTCACAACCCGAGGATGTCTGGAGAGCTGGCTTCCGACGGTGGACGCATATACAGTTGGGGCCGATCCATGAGAAACCTCCCACAAGAAACCCACCCCTGAGACTCCAGGACGTCCATTGATTTTTGGTGTGGGGACGTCACGCTTTCCATTGCAAAACCATCGAAACCCAAGAAACCCAGGCCACCCTGGAGGCAACCAGGGTGTTTCTTCGTATGGGTCTCCACTGAATGCCAGCGCCGCTGCTGCAATCAACCCCATCCTCGAGATGCATCCTAGGATGAAGGCAATTTAGTTCAAAATCGGTGCTGGGAGCCCTCCCGGGGTCCACCTGGTGCAATTTTTCATCCCGTGTCTGTTTCTGACGATCCCGCGGCCCGAAAACGGCCCCCAAGGACCGAAAAGGCAAAGAAACTGCTCCAACTCAGAACCTCGAACCTCGCCTCCCCTCCGTGCGATGTCAGGAGAGCCCAGAATCGAACTGGTAAATCGGATCGGCGATCGGAATGAAACGGATCGGCAGAAGTTGGCAGCCGAGTCGGGAGAAGTTGAATCGGCGAGTAAATTGGCGGGCCAGTAGGCCTACACATTGAGAAATCGGAGTCCACGTCGGCATTTGAAGTCCAATCGGATCGGAATTGGCAGCCATCGAGATCAAATCGAATCGAATTGGAAGAATCGAAATGTCGGGGGTTGCTAAAGGAGCCCCTGGCCCAAGGTGCCCCCAACCAGCTTTTCGCTCAATTTTGGAGCCCCTGGGTCCCTCTGGGCCTCGTGAGGGGTGCTCAGGAGGCTGTGGGGGCCTCCTTGGGAATCCTGGGGGCACCTTGGGCCAGGGGCACCTCTAGCATTAGGTGGGGCGTGTCCTCCTACAGACGGATTTGGGACGAAAAACTAAACATAGTCAATAGTATTTCAAACAAAAAACTGAAAAGTCGTCCCCATGTTGATTTTTCCTATTTTTGAACATTCCTTCTGTAGAGGGACAGGCCCGACGTGACTCCAGCAGCACCCGAAGGGAGCTCTGCCGAGGTGGCTGGCGACCCCCCCACACCGCAGCTCCGACAGGCAGCTGCCGCGCCGCACCCCCGCGGCGCCGCCGCTCGGCCGCTCGCCGCCGCAGCTGCCCTGTGCCAGGGGCGCGAGGGGGGGGGGCGAGCGATGATGATGATGATGATGATGATGATGATGATGATGATGATGATGATGATGATGATGATGATGATGATGATGATGATAATGATGATGCTGATGCTGATGCTGATGCTGATGATGCTGATGCTGATGCTGATGCTGATGATGATGATGATGATGATGTCGAGCGATGGTGATGATGATGATGCTGATGCTGATGCTGATGATGCTGATGATGATGACGATGATGCTGATGATGATGAGGATATGCTGCTGATGATGCTGATGATGATGCTGATAACGATGGTGATGATGACGACGACGATGACGGTGACGATGACGATGATGGTGACGATGATGGTGATGATGATGATAATACTTCTGTTGTTGATGGTGATGCTGATGACGATGATGATGATGATGATGATACTGATGATGATGATGCTGATGATGATGATGATGATGATGATGGTGACGATGATGGTGACGATGATGGTTATGCTGATGCTGCTTTTGTTGGTGATGATGGTGTTGCGATGATGATGATGATGACGATGCTGATGATGGTGATGATGATGGTAATGCAGATTACGTTGATGGTGGTGGTGATGGTGATGCTGATGATCATTATGATGATGTTGATGATGATGGTGATGATGCTGATGATGATGGTGATGATGGTGATCATGATGATGATCATGATCATGCTGATGATGATGCTGCTGCTGATGATGATTATGACAAGGCGAGAGGCGCAAGGATTAAGTGGGACAGGTGGACTCTGGACGAACAAACAATAGCCGACACATATTCAAGCATGGTCAAACATTGTGGACAAATCGTCCGCAGACTATTTGTTTTACCATTTTTGAACAGTCCTCCTGTAGAGGGTCATACCCGTCTTAACGCGAGGGGGGGGAGCGAGGCGAGAGGCGCGAGGAGGAGGCATCCTTTCTTTGATTCCCCTGGTCCTTTGTATCTTCCCCTCGGGGTGGTCCCAGAGCTCCGAGGATTTGTTTTAGGTCGGGCACGTCCCCCTACGGGCGGATTTTGGACGGAAAATGACAAATAGCCAAAGCATGCCCAAACAAACATCAAAACAAAACAGAACCGGACAGTCGTCCCCAGACTACTTTGGACCAGTTTTGAACCTTCCTCCTGCAGAGGCACATGCCCGACTTCAAATTTGTCTCTCTCCATCCTGCGGTGTGTCCTGGATTTCGGCCTGCGGGGCCCGTGTCTCTCTCGGGAGCGGCCAAGAGGGGGGTGTCCAAGAGGGGGGGGGTGCAAATCATGACCGGCGGCATGTGCGCGGCCCGGCGGGGGGGCCAGGGACGTAATGAAATAAGAAGAGGCGCCATGAAATCTGGGGAAATATCATGGCCCACGCCATGATATCCACTCCCCCCTAGTCATCACCCCCCTCTTTTCCGCCCCCGACTCTCGGGCCCGGGGGCCACCCCGCCACGGATCCCGGGACGGAGAACACCCCCCCTCCCTCGGGGAAGGGGCCGAGGCCTCGGGGCTTGGGTCGGGCACGTCCACCTGCAGGCGGACTTGGGATGGAGAATTAGACATCGCCCAGCAAGAATCAAACATACGGCAGGTTCGCGTCGTGTCGACCCCGGCGTTGGTTTCTGACACCGCGGGGATCGTTCAAACTTGAACGATCGGCCGTTTCCGAAACGTCCAAATCGTTCCACATCGAACGATTCTGGGTCGCCCGCGGCGTTGAAGGTTGAACGCCGCTGGCGGGGTCGCCGCCGGTCGACACGACACGAACCTACCGTATTCAAGAATAGTCAAAACATCGTCTCCAGACTATGCTGTGGCTCTTTTTGCAGATTCCTCCTGGAAAGGGGACAGGCCCGACGTGACTCTGGGGCCGCGGAGGTTAAGAGCCGTGTCAGCGGCCCCGGGCCCTTTTTTATTACTTTCCCCTCGGGGTGGTACCCAGTTTCTTTTTCACCCTCGAGCCATCCTGCACTTCCCCCATCGGGCCATTCTTGACCCTTCTGCCATCACTTTGTACATCCCCGGAGCCATTGTGTGTTTTTTCTGACCGTCTCGAGCCATCTATCTTTGATTTCCCCTGGCGAGGGTCCTCTTGGGGGGTGGGTGGGGCTCTTTCTTAATCCCCCCCCGACGGGAGCGAGCGAGGGCCGAGGCCTCTCCGAGCTCTGGGAGCGCGCCGGCGCTGCCCTTCCCGAGGGGGCGCCGGGGCGGCGTGGACCCCCATCCCCGCGCGCTAGGCGTGGCCCGTGTGGTGAGCTCGGTGCCAGTCTGCAGGAGCCCTCTGCTCCACAGCCTCTGTTTCCGATCCACACAAAGGGCCCGGGGGTGAAGCCCAGGGGAAAACCAAAAAATGGTCAGGGGGGTGGGGGGGAGGAAAGGGGGGAGCCACAGAAAGTGTCACGGGAAATGTCAAAAAAGGGAGACCCAAGGAGGAGGCCAGAGAGGTGCAGGGGGAGGGAGGGCAAGGTGGAGCAGGAGGTGGAGGGTCGAGGGGTGCGGAGGAGAAGAGCAGGCTGGGGAGGGACAGGGGGAGGGAGGGAGGGAGGGAGGGAGGGAAGGTGGAGGAGGAGGAGGAGGGAGGAGGAGGAGGAGGAGGAGGAGGAGGAGGAGGAGAGGAGAGGAGGAGGAGGGGGAGGAGGATGAGGAGGAGGAGGAGTGGGAGGAGGAGGAGGAGCAAGAGAAGGAGGAGCAAGAGGAGGTTGAAGAGCAGGGGCCAGAAGAGGTTGAGGAGGAGGAGGATCGAGAGGGACAGGAGGAGTATCTCGAGGGAGGGGCAAGGCGACGAGGAGTAGGAGGCCGAGGGAGGGATGAGGAGGAGAGGAGCGAAGCGCGAGGCGGAGCATGCTGATGAGGAGGATCGTCAAACATCCCAGGAGAGCGCTCAATAACCAATCCACCATCCAGTGAGGTGAGGTAGTCTGAGCAACCAGCACAGTGCAGATTGACCGCGAGGCCAACGAGGCCAACAAAAGATATGGGTTGGTGGGGTCTGAAGCATGACATGAGCACAAGGACGACCGTGCTCCAACAAGTTTGACCTCAAGTGGCGGGACCTCTATCTCTCACATCTCTCTCTCCCTCTCTCTTCTCTCCCTCTCTCTCTCTCTTCTCGTTCTCTGTCTCTCTCTCTTTCTCTCTCTCTCTCTCACATCTCTCTCTCTCTCTCCCTCTTTCTTCTCTCTCTCTCTCTTCTCTTTCTCTCGGTATCTCTGTCTCTCTCACTCAGCCTCGCTGTGCTGTGCTGGCCGGCCGCTCGGCGGTGGATCGAGAACTTCTGCACGCAGAGAGGAAGAATGCACTTTTCCCATGTCGCCGACGACCCCTTCCCTGGGACCGACCCTGCGAGGAGGTCCCAGGCGAGAGCTCTGCGGCGGCTCTATCAGATTCGCAGGAGATGGTGCAGGAAGCACTCTTGGCCCCTCCTTTGGGGCCGACTTTGCAAGGATGTCCTGCGCGAAGGCGCCGTTGTATGATTCTACGCTGCTTTCTGTGAGACTCGCCGGAAACGGCGCAAGGAATACTGCCCTGACCGCGATTTTGCGAGGATGACCCAATCGATAGCGCCAATTTGGGATTCTGCGCCCGCTTCCGTCAGGTTCCGTCAGGCTCGCTGCAAGACAGGGCAGGAACCGCAAGCTGTATGCCTCACTTCCTAGCGCGCCAGGGGGTCAGGGTGACGAGAGTTCCACAGACATTCGATTAATTGTTAGACAGATTCTCTTTTTCTATTTTTTTTTTTTTTTTTTTTTCTCTCTCTCTCTCTCCCTCTCTCTTTCTGATTCTCTCTTTCTCTCTCTCTCTCTCTGCATGTAATGAGGAAGTCGGAGGAGGGTGCGGTTGGCATGGCGCTGATAGCGTGCAACATCCAGGGGGGGCGGTCGGACGCGGCACTACAGCAGTCCGTGTGGGGACCCTCGGTTGGCTCCCACGTCCCCACCGCTGGGGCAGTTGCGCGACCCTGCCGGCCCGCCCCCCCCGAAGAATAGGGAGGCACCCAACACTGAGACATCAGGCGGCGAGGGAGCTGTTTCGTTTGTTCGTTGTTTTGTTTGGTTTTTGTGTTGTGTTGTTGTGTGCGCTTCTTTTTCTCTCTCTGTCTCTCTCGTTCTGTGCGCAGAGAAGGGGTTGGAGCGGGGTGCGCTTGGCGTGGGCAAGATGGCATGCAGCGTCGGGGGGGGGGAGGGAGGAGGGCGGGGGGGCGTGGCATTTGCGCGGTCGCTGTGCCTCCGTAGATGGCGCGCGCCGCGCGCGCGAGGGGGGGCGGGAACTCCTGCAGTCTTTGCTCCGCCCTCCCCGCGAAGAGAGGCCCAGTCTCGAGCTCCCGGGCAGCCCAGGAGCAGGCGCGAGAGGGCGGCGGAATAGGCGCGAAGCGCAACGCGGAGGAAGAGGAGGGAGGAGGAGGAGGAAGAGGAGGAGGAGGAGGGAGGAGGAGGAGGGGAAGGAGGAGCAGGAGGAGGAGGAGGAGCAGGAGGAGGAGGAGCAGGAGGAGGAGGAGGAGGAGGAGGAGGAGAGGAGCAAGCTGGATGCCCAGATCAAGAATCGAACGACGGGAGAGAGGTCGGTCGGGCACAGCCCGGAAGCTGACGCCCGTGCTGTTTGGTCACGCCGCAGCACGCCCCACGCGCGGCCGTCGCGTGCCCCCCTGCTCCAAGAGGGGGGGCGCTGGAAACTCTACCCTGGGAGGGGCAGAGGAGCGTGTGGAGCAGGTTGTCGATCGATCGATCTCTCCTCTCTTCACTCCGCCTGGCTGCCGCATACTCTGCGCCCATCGGGTCACTCTTCTTTCCCTTTTCTAGCCGCCCTGCTGAAGTACGTATTGCGCCAGCCAGGCTTAATTGGTCGAGCGTAAAAACAATGAAAGCCTCGCACGTGGCATACACCAAATCAGTCAAGCTAGTTAAGGAACAGTGAGGTGACCTCGCTGCCGAGGACTCGCTGCCCAGACGAAGCGGCGTGGTGCGTAGGGTGCCCGGCCCCAAGACTCGCATGGGCAACTGGGCTTGTTCCCCAGGGTGGGTGGACACAAGGCCCCGTGGAACTTACGGACCACATGGCCACACCTCTCCACCAAATACGCAATCCCCGTGCTTGGTCCCAAATCCAATGCTACGGACGCAGCGAACGCCATACGCAGCAAAGCGAAAGGCGCCAACCTGCGGGTGCCAAACAAACCAAATGACAAACAGGCCGGTTGCACCTCTCCCTGGAAGCCTCCAGAAGGCTCCCTGACAATGTGCCCTGAAAGGTGGGGAAACGCCATGCGTCAGGATACGGCATACGGCGCCCACGCAGGGCAGGGAGGGGTAGAGGAGGGAGGAAGGAGGGCGTGGGTAGGGTGGGAGAGAGAGAGGGAGGAGGGCTGCAAGGAAGGAGCGGGGCGGAGGCACCGACGGGCTGCTGCCGTTGCGCACGCCGCCGTGGTTGGCGCCGTCGCTCCCGGCCGCGCGCCGCTGCCCGCTGCCCGTGCTGGTGCCCTCGGTGTCGCGAGCCTCCGAGGGACCAGTCGCTCTCCGCGTGGGGTACGGTCGGGAACTTTGGGACAGCGTGTCGCTCCGCTTCTTCCTCCTCCTCCTCCTCCTCCTCCTTCTCCTCGTCCTCCTCCTCCTCCTCCTCCTCCTCCTTCCCTCCTCCCCCTCCTCCTCCTTCTACTCCCTCTTCTCCTCCCCCTCCTCCTCCCTCCTCCTCCCTCCTCGTCGTCGTCCTCCTCCTCCTCCTCCTTCTACTCCTCCTACTCCTTCTACTCCTTCTACTCCTTCTCCTCCTCCTCCTCCTCCTCCTTCTCCTCCTCCTCCTCCCTCCTTGTCCTACTCCTCCCTCCTCCTCCTCCTGCGAGCGGATGGCGTGTCGCTTCGCTCCGCAGGGCGGGGGACTCGGTAAGCGCTCGGTGGGCGTTGATGCCTTCGGGGCCTCGGAGTGGATGGCGTGCCGCGCCGAGGCGCCGTGGGCCAGAGCCGGCCGAGAAATCGCCAATCGCCTAAAGGCAAGGAGTGGCGGCATTGCTGCTTCTCGGTGAGAGTTTCGTATTTCGAGCGTAGCCCGATTCTACTTCTCGCGGGGTAAACTGAGTTGAACTGAACTGAACAGAGTGGTCGCACCCGTTGCGCGACGGTTTTATTCTCGGCCGCCGAAGGTGGAACCTATGGCGCAAACCGATAGGGGACGGTTCTATTCTCGGCCGCCGAGGGCGCAACCTATGGCGCAACCGATAGGAGACGGTTCTACTCTCGGACGCCAACGGCGCAACCTATGGCGCAACCAATAGGGGACGGTTTTCTTCGCGGCCGCCGAGGGCGCAATTTATGGCGCAACCGATAGGAGAAGGTTTTCTTCTCGGCCGCCGAGGGCGCAACCTATGGCGCAACCGATAAGAGACGGTTCTACTCTCGGCCGCCAAGGGCGCAACCTATGGCGCATCCTATGGCGTTGAGCCGCTCTCCTGAACCGCAAATGGGCCAGCGCGTCGATGACCGAGGTGCCAGGAGAAGGAGGATGAGCAGGAGGAGAAAAAGGAGAAAGAGGACGAGGTCCTAGACGAGGACGACGAGGAGGAGCTGGAACAGGAAGACGAGGAAAACGAGGATGATGAAGAGGAGGACGAGGAGGAGGACAAGGACGACGATCACGATGGGGAGGAGGACACGGAGGAATACGAGAAGTACGTGGACGAAGAGTGAGAATTCGAATGCGTGCGGGGCTACGCCCGATTTATGCTCGCCGTTCGGGCTGGCGGTGGGGCCCAAGCGGCAAACTGTTTTGTGAATCAACGGGTCGATGTGGAACCTGGGTTGCCAGACCAAATCAAAAACGTGGCGGCTACTTTCCGAAGAGCACGGGAAGGGTGGAGGAAAAACACATGCGGTCCCCCTGCCCCTCGACTCTTCCTTTACCATTTTCGCCACCCCCGCTCGCCGCCATCGCCCGTTGAGCTTCGAGGCTCAAGCGACAGCGGCAACCGCTCGCGAAGGCGGCCGCGGCCACCACGCGGAGCTCGACGGATCCCCGTTGGGAGGAATCGGATGAGGAAGAAGGGGGAACCCTGAAAACACAATGGGGGAGAAGGAGGAGGAAAGAAGAGGAAAAGCCAAGCACGGATAAACATTCCAACAGCACATCGTAAGCACCAGCTGCCCAACGAGACAATATACCAATAAGAGAACATAGCGTCAGACGCGTACACACAGCAACAAGTCACACTATAACGCAAAATCGCCAGTAGCTGTTTAGGCCCAGGACGGATGGGCATTCGCACAGCGAGACTTAGCAGTAACAGAGGACATTGTCAGAGTGCTGTCTGGCAAACGAGTTGTGGGTGACGACGAGCGCGTGATATATCGAATGGCCGCACACCTCCTCATTATTACACCTCTGAGCATCGAAAGTCCTCGCGGGGAGAACATCGCGGAGTGGACCAGACATACAACCATAACAGAATTGCTGCCTGGTTCTGGTGGCGATCGACTGCTTGCCAATGGGGTCTCGTGTGCCCTGGATTCCGTCCCATCAATTGTGAATCAATTCGCTTGCCTTCTGCTTGATGAGTCTCACATAGGGTATATCCGGGTGAGCTAAGCCAAGAAGCGGAGGCGGAGAGAGCCATCCGACGCTCGCTCTGAAGCCGCAAACTCATGTTGGTTAAGAATGCCGCACGAATGGCTCATCAATGGCAGCCAAGTGCGTTCGTGTCGCGGCTTGCTTCCAACTGGACGGGCTTCGATGGCATTTCACGTGGCAACGTTGAGATGATGGTTCTCAGACTCGCGGATGACGCGGAGGGCTAGAGCACAGCGCTAGTCAGAGCAAACTGGTTGAATAATTTGCTCAGGGATAGAAGCGGGGCAATGACAACCGATCTGCTTGTTGCCAAGTCTGAAACGGACATTCTCAAACACAGAACAGACCTCATGCCGGGCAGGATGGTCACGACGTGGGCTTCGTTCGCTCGCGCGGACATGTCCCACGCCTCTGCCATGGCGGTGCCCATGAAGGTTGCTGGCTGCAAGGGGCATGGAGGTGCGCCTGATGGCCGCGCGTGAATGCGCGAAGAACATCGGGCAGATTGTGCAGTGGCTCTCCGATCGAAAAACCGCTTCAAGCAATCGCGCGAGCAATCCGCCCGGTCCATCGCGGCCAAGAAGTGTGCCACTTCGCAGAATATCGTCGGCGAAGAAAAACTGCGCGTTGCACTGGTTCGGTTCGCTTCGTTCACCGTTGGCGACATGGGGCAATCTTACCTCGACGACGGCAGATGGGACGTTCGCATCCTGTGGCCTAGAGCGCGAAACCAGAAGGTAAGCAGCGACTTGGCGGGGTCGCCCATGGGCGCCCCAGGGGGTGCACTTGCATGCCGAGAGGGAGCTCGAGGGCATCGCGCGCAACACGTGGACATCCTCATCTCGTTTCGGTGGCCTTCAGGCATCTTTGCTTTCCTGGTCAGTGGATGCTGGAGAAGAGGACGTTCGTTTCATGGGGGTATTGTTCGCGATCTGATGGGCACGAGCAATGTACTGTATACAGATGCGTACTGCATGGTGCAACAAAACCACTTGATTGCAAAATGCGCGATCGGCATCGTCAAAGACTGCGGCTGGTTCGAAGAAGGGTGCGGTATCGCGAGCGAGATGGTTGTTCTGGGGTATTACAATCGGACGCTCTTAACTGGAGTGTCGTCGTTCTCTATCTACTGGAGGGGTACTGGTCGCCACGAGCTGATCCAGACAGCGGTCGAGCTCGAGTTCCAGCATGAGGGGTGCCGGGGAAATCAGCAGCGGCTCTTCAGGGCGACCCCTGGCAGATGCTTGCGCGGTCGATGGCTGTCCCTTGGATCCGTGGAGGAAATGCTAGTCAACGCGCACGATTTGCCGAAGGTGTTGAGGCGCTGGGCGTTCTCACAGCCAGCTCGAAGGGCAATGCTAGCGGCCCTGGCGCGGGCGAGGCCAACGAGTGGGCGGAGAAGCAGCGATCCTGGAGGCTGCGCGTGGTGAACCTCGACCAAGTCAGGCTTTGGACAGCAACGGTGCGTATCAGCTTCATCGCGAACGAGCCCATCACCAACTTCCTGACATGGCTCGAGAAGTGATGGCGGTGCTGATGAGGATGATTTCTTCAGCTTTGAGTGCCCCGAATACCTCCATGGCGGCCACTGCCAAACGACAACCTCCTTCAAGTTGCGCAATATACGTTTGAGCCTTATCATGCAAAAGTGGCCGGGCAAGCTTCGGGAATTACAATGAATTGTAGGTGTGCCGGCTCAAGGTGCCAAACGTACCTTCAAAACAGCTTGCTAGAGAACCGGCTGAAACCATCGCTGTATCGGCCGTGCGCGGCTTGTGCATGAACAGATCGGTGACATTGTCTTCTGCGCGAGCATCTGGAGGTCTCAGCCCTCTCACAAAATCAAACGGACCAGCACTCGACAAAGCAAGAATAGGCAAAGCGGGAGCAAGGCACCTGCAGGGAGCTCCGAACCATCACCATCATCCTCGCTGTCCTCGCCACGCGCCTTCCTGCGAGGCACGGGCGCCGTCGGAGTATCAGAACTTCCAGCGCTCCCACAAGCATGCACCATGAAAAACGACAACCATGAAAACCACCACCACCACCACAACACCACGAAAACCACAAAACAACCGCACAAACGACAAAACCACGAAAACCACGAAAAACGACAACCATGAAAAACAGCAAAAATGAGTATCGGAACGATCACCACCACCATGAAAGCGCTCCCACAAGCAGGAACAGCACCACCACCATGAAGAGCGACAAGTCGGTGACCGGCACCTTCCGAGGGGCGAGCACGGCTGACCCCATCCTCGCGAGGACGAGCATGAACCTCGGCAACCTCTTCGCGTGCGTCCGCGTCTCCGCGAGCATCAGCAGCTCCACAAGCGCCGACAGTTCCACGAGCTCCCAAGGCTCCACGAGTGCCAGCAGCTCCACGATCCTCCGCAGCACCACGGGGAGGGAGAGCAGCCCCAGGCACCTCCACGCATACGAGCGGCAGCATCAGAAAGACCAGGCCAATCACGGAGAGCCGCGCGGGCAACTTGAGCACCTCCAGCAACGGGGAAGCCACCAACCTCCGCCGGGCCAAGCAAATCAGCAGCACCTCGAACGCCTTCACGAGGAACTCCGCCTCCAGGATCGCCATCACCGCCATGACCTTCAGGATCTCCAGAAACATGTAGAGCACGCGTACGAGCAGGAAGAACATCATAATTGCGCAGCCATCGTTTCAGCAGGCTCTTCATGCTGAACGTGATATGTGATAAACCCTCCGAATACCATGGTCAACAACGCAAGCATCACCCAGAAAATGCAGCATCGATTGCGCCACCATAGTCGGTAACATTTTGAGCGCGCCCACTTCACCACCGAGAAGAAGAACACACAACATGAACAATGTCGCGGTCACGATGCGTATCAATCCGCACCCGGCACCTTCCACCAAGAACAAGTTGCTCAACAATCCAGGAAAGGCGAGCTGCGCTGACCATCGAGAGCAAATAATCAGAGTGGCAAGAACACGGGTGCGGCAAAACGAAACGGCGGGGAGGCGCACGTGCACCGAAATGGCCTCTGACCCAGCAAATACTCGAGCCAAAATGGCTATGGTGATGATGGTGACAATGATGATGACAATGATGATGATGATGATGATGATGATGATGATGATGATGATGATGATGATGATGATGATGATGATCATCATGCTGATGCTGATGCTCATGATGATGATGATGATGATGATGCTGATGATGATGATGATGATGATGATGGTGGTGGGCGTATCGATGGCTAACATGTGCTTGTGAAGCTGCGGACCATGTTCCCGCGCCCGAGCCATAGGCGCCGTTGTCGACACCGAAGCTGGCGTACCGAAGCTGAGCTAGATGACGCCACGACCCTGATAGGTTCGGTCGTTGCCAATCGTGCTGTAGCCGTTCCCGTTTCTGCTGTAGCCGCCTGTCGTTATTGGGGTAGCCGCTGCTGTGCTCGTCGTCCCTGTAGCTGACGGCAGGGTTGTCGTAGCTGCGACTGCGCTTTGCCACTGCCGCAGTTGGATGCGTCCCAGAAGGTGCTCTTGCCGGAGCCGGACCTCGCATGTGCACCGATGAAAATGCACTTTCCGACGATGGGCGTGTCGGAGAAGCGAATCCCGCTGATGTCGGACACTGCGTGCGCAACGAATGGACTACATACCAGAGTAAGCATCATGGCAACCTCGGCAGCCTGGCCAATCCTAGTGAATGTGGCACTTCAATATGATATCCAATATTGCCAATTCGTCGCGCAATTCACGGGACAGGCCAGAGCCAACAACTATTAGGAAAGGAGGAGGGGGAACGCGAGGAGGACAGGGGAGGGAAGACGATGTGGAAAGCGGAGGGGGGACGGGAGGATGAAGAAGGAGGACGGGGAAGATGAGCAAGGGGGGAGGACGAGGAAAAATATGGAGAAGGACGGCGAGACTGCAGGAGGAGGCTGGAGGATGCGGAGGAGAATGGAGAGAAGAAGGATGAGGAGGAAGGAAGACGAAGGTCCAGGATCCCCCTGGGTTCCAGTAGAGCCACTACAGCCACACAGAAGCCCCTGGCGCCCACTAGGCCCTCGCGCTCCCCCCCCCCTCGTGGTGGGTGGGAGGGGGGGACGGACATGAAGGGAGGGAGGGTGAGGAGAAACAGGAATAAGTTATTTCTACGCGCACACACACACACCCAACAACAAAAAGGACACAGGTGGCCAAGAGCAGGGGGCGGAAGAACGTACATCCAGGAACTCACGGAATCTGCTGCCCCACAAGGGAGCTATCCAAAGCACTGGGTCCCATGACTGAGCGCGTGGTCCGCCCCCTCGCAGCCGGACTGGAGAGCGAGCCACCTAAGGCTGGCATTGCGCCCGGAGCGCACTCCGGAGGGCACGTGCACAATCAGCATTCCGATGGCGTCCTCTTCAGGATCATGACGAGCGGAACAGGGACAGCCACTGCAACACCCCCGCATCTGCTAGGGGTGCTGGGGAGGGGAAGGACGCCCAGACATGCGACGGCTTTTTTCAGGACGGCGTCCCTGGAAGTCCCGACCCTTTTCCCGGGACCGCTTTTTCAGCCTGAGTAATTTTTTAACGGCCCCGAGGCCCGGCGAGGGGCCCCCAGCGGCCGAAAACGGCCAGAAACCTCCCGTCCTTTTTTATCGACGCGATCACGTCTGGGTGCGGAACAAGGGAGAAGGACGACAAGAGAAACCGCGAGGAGGAGGAGGGGACGCGAAGGACGGCCTCGTACGTGCTCGAGCGCACGAGCGCAGCCCTGGCCACCTGCTCCCAATGGGCGGGGGTGAACAGCTTCTCCAGGAAGGGCTTGCGCCGGTCCTCCCTCCCTCTCGCTCGTCCTCCTCGCCCTCCGCCCCCCCATTCCAACTCACCTCCTCCCCCTCCCCCTTCCCTCCTCCTCTTCGCTCCTCGCACTCCCGCTGCTCCATCCTCATCCCTCGTCCTCCCTCTTCGTCCTCGTCATCGTTCTGGTCCTTCCCGCTTCCTTTTCTTCGTCTACCTCCATATCCATCCTTATCTTGCCTCCTTCTCCTCCTCCGCACCCTCCTTTCCGTCCTGCCCGTCCTCTGTCCCCTCATTACTTTCCTCCTCCTCCTCCTCCTCCTCCTCCTCCTCGGTTCAGCCCTTGTCCTTCTCTTCCTCCACCTCCTCCTCCTCCGACCAAGTCCCCCCGATGTCCTCCTCCTCTTCAGCCTCCTCAGTTCCTTCCTTTCCTCATTGCTGCTCATTGTCTTCATGTTCCTCCACCTCCTCCATTTCTCCATATCCGCCCCCACCTTATCCCTCCTCCCTCTTCTGCCCCTTCTGTACCATTCATGTTCCTCATACGTCCCTTCATATTTCCTCCCCCCCTCTTATCCGCCTCCTCCGCCCCCTTCTCTTCCGCCGCCTCCTCCGCCTCCTCCGTCTCCAAGCCAGCGAGAAAGCTGGATATGAAGATCAACTTCAATCCTTGCCTTCATGTGGCGGGGTGAAGGCCGCCGCGGCCCAGAGGCCGCTTTGAGAACCAGATGGTCAACGAAGAAGCCGAGGAAAACGGAGGCCTTGCCTTTGACCGCGGGGGTCCGGCAGCATCAGGGATCCCGGGCCCTTGCCGAAAAGCAGTGTGGACGGGTCGAAGGTGAAGCCCGAGATCGGCTTCCTGCCCGAAGAGATGGTGGACATGGCCTCGCAGACTTGACCACGTGGCCCGCCACTGTACTCGTGGACCCTGGGGAAGGGGCCCAGCAGAGGAGTAGATGCCTTTGGCCAGAAACTGCGAGGCGTCCTGGCGCCATGACGCTGTTGTTGTACGTGGTTCCATAACCAACCGTATCTGGGAATATGGATCGTGGGAGCTGTTGTCCCAATGCCGAATGGGCCCCCTGGCCACGAAGACGATGAAACACGAGCCGCCTACCACTGGAGCCACGCACACTCGTCTCAGAGCCGCTGGGCCCGTCATGGAGTCGACCACGCCACGCGTACCTCGGGCACGAACCCAGACCGAGTGGCGAGCCCGGTGACCATCTACAGCATAGCGCAATCTGTCCAGCAACCTGGTCTCTTGGATAAGGCTGGGCCGAAAAGCCCGCATGGTTGATAGCTCCGGGGTCGCAAAGCCTGGATGGCTGGCGATCCAGCGCTCGACCTCTGCCTCGAACCGAGCAAAATGCACAGACCAAACTATCTGGAAAAAACGGTGTCACGCTGGCGCCAACGATCTGCGGGATGAGCCTGCCGAAGCACGCACTACCGCCTGAACCTTCCCCTGGCGCCGTCAGATCGGTCTCTGCGGCGCCGCACCAGCACGGCTGGCTGCGTGTAATAGGTATAGGAACAAGCCCTCCTGCCTCCTCCCCCGCCCTCCTTCAGTTTCTCAACCTCCTCCGCCTCTGAAGAGGAGGAGGAGGAGGAGGAGCAGGAGGAGGAGGAGGAGGAGAAGGAGCAATGAGCAATGAGCAATGCGCGGGGAGTCCAAATGAGTTACTCGATCTCACACCATAAATCTGGCAATGAACTCTGCGCAACCCGACTTCATGGGGAGGCGGGTTAACCGTGAAAAAGACAGGGGGGACCCCCTCTGGCAGAGCCAGCACTGCCCCTGAAACGACGGCGAACCCAGACGCCGCGCAGGCGTACGAAGGGGCCGTCTAGGGGACCGACAAGCTAGGTCTACTGTGAGAATCTTGCTTGCCCTTTCCTCCTCTGCGTGGAGCCCGTTTAGCCGCCACTACTAAGGGGATCGGGGGAGGATCGGGATTAGAATCTGTATCGAAACTGGTGGCCTCGAAGGGGTCTGGGATGGCCCCTCGGGCCACTAAAGCTGCTAGTCGCTCACTACCTGCAAAGGCCCCTCTGCTCAGAAACCGTTTTTTCTCGGGGCCTCTCACGCGAACGACTCCGAGGAGGAGGAGGAGGAGGAGGAGGAGGAGGAGGAGGAGGAGGAGGGAGGAGCAGGAGGAGCTGTAGGAGGAGGCCCCTCATCCCGCTCATCCTCGTCTTTCCTTGCAACGATTGATTCGGAAACTTCTGCTGTCGCCCGTGCGCGGCCGCGTGTTTTTTATTGCTTGCTCGTCGCGTCGTCGACGCGGGACCCATCGCGCGCGCGCCTTCCATTCGGTAGGCGGGAACGCGCTCGGGCCACAATGTTTCAAGTTGCACCGACATTTCAGGGCCTCCACCCTCTCCTGCCTCCTCCTCCTCCTGGGCATGCCCCTCCTCCTCGTCTTGCTCCTCCTCCCTCCTCCTCCTCCTCCTCCTCCTCCTCCTCCTCCTCCTCCTCCTCCTCCTCCTCCTCCCCGGCTCCGCGCTGCCGAGCTTCAGCGCGTCGTGGATGCTCAAGAGGTACTCGCCACCCTCGGCCCGCAGGAACTCGCGCAAGGTGACGCAGCCCCCCCGGTCGCCCCCCTCGCCCGAGCCGGCGGCGGCCAGGAGGAGGTCGGCCAGGAGTCGCTGCTCCTCGGCACGAGGAGGAGGGGGAGGAGGAGGAGGAGGAGGAGGAGGAGGAGGAGGAGGAGGAGGAGGCCCTCCCCCGCGTCGATGCAGCAAAGGGCGGGTCGGCGAGGGGCGGGGCGCGAGGACTCCGACGGCAAGCGCACGTGCGTCGATCGCGCTCGAGCCCGAGCCGTCTCTCCCGGGTCAGGGGCAGGCGGAGGCGAGCGCTCACGCGCACGCGCGCGCGCCGAGATCATCGCCACTACCGCCAGCATCGTCGTCGTAGCCGCCGCCGCCGTTGCCGCCGCCGCCGTCGCTTGACCGCCTCAGCGAGAACGTGGCTCCTTCTCACCGATCTGGTCGTCGCCATCGCTCTGGCCCAGAAGGGCGCGCTGCTTGATCAGGTGGGCCAGAGCCTCGCCCGACATGTGTTCGTCCGTTGCGTCCATGGCCGCCTGGAAGACGTCACGAGACGCCACCATCCGGTAGAGCAGGTCCGACAGCTGCCCCTCCAAAGAGACGGCGTCCCTGCTTGCCTTTCGGTACATTGTCGATTGCATACCCAACATGTTCAAAACGAACCACTGCATGATCCGCCACCGCGCTTGCAACGCGTGGTGTGGGTCGGGCCCTTATGTTCCGTTACTTCCGCCTCTTGCGATGCAATAGTTGGACCCCACCCCGACGTGTGGAATCCAGCATCCTTCCGGTTGAGCCACGAAAGGCCTGCACTTGCCGCCTCCCGACCAAATATTGCCCTAACAGCTCAAGTGCTGGCAGCCGGGCCCGTGGAATGCAACCCCCCCTCCCCGCCGTCCGCCCTCCGCCTCGCCCGCCCGAGCGCGGTGGCGGAATCGCTCGGCGGCGCAGCTGGATCCGCCGCCCCCTGTTGATTCATCACAGGGGTGCCTGGCGTGCTGGAGTTCTTAGGGCTTTTTGTTTTCTCCAAGGGAACCACCCCTCGGGGCCACGCGGGAGGCCGCGCAACGGCCCGCAAACGAGCACGGCGTCCAGAAAAGAGTCCCCACGACGGCTCAAGATGGCTTCCAAGATGGTCACGTTGGCGAAAGGTGGCCTCCAAGGGGCCCAAGATGGCCCAAGTTGCCTCGAATTCCGCCGAAGAGGCCACCAAGATAGCTCCAAGATGCCTCCGCCCAAGAAGCCTCCAAGATGGCCCAAGACGGTCCCTCCAGGAGGGCCCGAAGAGGCCACAAGCATTGGCCCCCGGAGGTTTTGAAGGATTTTGGTCTAATCGTCTTTCGCTCTTCCTACAGCCCAAGACAACCCAAGAGGCCTCCAAGATCGCCTCAAGATGGCCCTAAAGTCCTCCACGGTGACCTCATATGACGGCCCAAGAAGCGTCCAAGACGGCCCCAAGAGGCCTCCAAATTCGCCCAATATGGTCCAAGATGGCTTCCAAGACGGCCCAAGAGGGTCCAAGATGGTCTCCAAGACGGCCCAAGAAGGCCCAACATGCTCCCAAGTCCGCCCAAGAAACCTCAAAGACGACCCAAGAAGCCCCCAAGACGCCCCCGGCCAAAGAGGCCCCCAAGAAGCCCCCGAAGGCCCCCAAGAGCCCCGGGGAGGCCCCCAAGAGGTCACCCAAAGACCCCCAGGAAGCTCGCAGGAGCGCCCAAAAATGACCGAAGAGGCCCCCAGAAGATCTCTTCCTCCTCCGCTTTCTCTTCTCGTAATGCACTGCGTTCACAAAGACAACCGGAGTAGCATGCGCGACCGCCCAAGCCAGACCCCACATAGGTCAAGAGAGTTCCACGATGGCTCCAACACTTCGAGGACTCCTTCAATGACTCCAGCCAGTCTCAAAGCCAATGGTGGTTCATACTCTTCGTCTTCGGGCATCTGGTCCCCGAACGGTTTGCGCGCCAGTTGGGGAACACTTCGCCTCACATTCCCCTATGATGATCCCAGATGATTTCAAGACAGCTCCGAGAGGGCCCTACGACAGACAACGAGGCGCCGAAGACGCCTCACATGGTTCATAATCTTCGTTATCGGTCACCCGGTCCCCGAAACGTTCCCGCGCCAGTTCGGGGAACACCTCCTCCCTTGAAACGACCGCGGCGTGTTTTTTCCACATATACATTCTTCGCGGCCCAAATACTCACGGGCACACTCGGGCAGCGCTGGGGTCCAAATGGCCCAAGATGGCCTCCAAGATGGCCCAAGAGGGTCCAAGATGGCTCCGGTTCCGCCCAAGAAGCCTCCAAGACGGCCCCAGACGGCCCAAGAGGCCCCCAAGAGGCGTCCAATACGGCCCTATAGGCCTCCAAGAGTGTCCCAAGAGGTTCTCCAGGAGGGCCTGAAGAGGCACAAATCATTGATTCCCCATAGGTTTTGGAGGATTTTGGCATTTCCTTCTTTTCGGCCTTCCGACCGCCCAAAAAGGTCCTCCTGCTACTCCTCTTCCTCCTACTCCTCTTCCTCCCTCTCCTGATCCTCCCCCTCATCCTCCCCCTCATCCTCCTCCAAGTTTTTCCACGGCTGGGGGAACACGTAGTCCGATGGCTTGGCCAAACTGATGTCCACCACAGAGGCGCTTCCCGAAAGGCAGGGAGAGGCGGTGATTCGCCGTAGGCGTCTTCGATAACCAGCGGGACGGCGAGATAGACAAGGGCAGCTGCACATGTTATGAGGACGTACACGGGATCGATGTACCCAAACTCACCAGAGCTGTTGAACATTATGTGGATGCCGTAGGAATAATAAGACAGGCACTCGGTGGAGCCAGCGATATCACCCAGACCGCAATCGGACTGCGGATGACTTTGCCATGCCGGAGTCACCCGAATCGTGGCTTTACAGACTGGCCCCACATGACCGTCCAAACAATCATCGCACGGTAAGTCTGGAAAGTGGTACCGGTTAGAGTAATAAAGGCGGATGTCCACCTCTAGGCCAGCCTGCCTGATCCGCGGCAATTTATGAACGTCTCCTCTGCATGGCTCCTCATGACCGTCCACGTCGCAATGCAGCAAATTCTCCCTGGTATGCAGGCCGCCATCCAGCGAGAGACCTGCGGCCGTCAGAACTTCTCGCAGAGAGAACGAGACGTCTGCAGGGGCATCTGTGATACTCAGCAGCTTCTCTTCCCCACCTGCCGTCCTTAGAACAAATACCGTCCTGTCAGGTTGCCAGATGCGCTCCTGCCCGGAAGTGTCCCCAGCCTCCCGCGAGACTCTGCCAGACCCTCTGGGGCCCTCTGGACCTCGCTAAGGGGGTGCTCAGAAGGCCTTGCGTGGCGGCTCACAACACGGCATGAGCATGACCCTTTGGAGGTCCGCACGGAGCTCCAAACAATTATGCTTACCCATCGGTCGGAAGAAGTAGGTAGAAACATGAAGTAGGAAGGCGTTGAAAATAGATTGGGTTTCCGCCCCGCCTCCTGAAGAGGAGGGAAGAGGGAAAACCACTCCACTCTTGAAGTAGGAAGGCGCTGAAAGTAGATTGGAATATGGGAATCCAAAAATACCTACTTTCAACGACCGATGGGTACGGTGGAGGCCAGTCCACAAGAAACCTTCCACAAGAAACCCGACCCTGAGACCCCAGGACGTTCATGAATGTTTGGTGTGGGAACGTCACGCGTTCCATTGCAAAATCATCGAAACCCGGGAAACCCAAAGCACCCTGGAGGCAAACAGGGTGTTTCTTGGCATGGGCCTCCACTGTATGCCGCCTTTTGTTCTTCGACTGCGGGCATCCGTGCACAAGCTGGGGCTACCTTGGGTCAGGACCACCGCTCGGGCAGACGCGAGACTCGGGCCCGGGGGACTCTCGGGCTGGCCTGGCGAGCCGTCAAGAAAACGACTGGACCCGCTCTGAACTCTGACGCGAGCTCCCGCTGCAGACACCCCACGACGACTGCACCGTCACAAAATCCAGGACGGGCTCGTCACAAGGCGTCGGCAAGCCCGAGTTCTGGCGAGCTCGAGCCTTACGTTCCCCGAGCGCCCGCCAATGCCCGATCCTCAGCTCCCTCGTCCCGCCGCGGGAGCTCCACGCCTCGCAGCGGCTGCTGCCCGAGCCGTCGCCGTCGCAGACCCTATCGGACTGCTGGGAGCTGCCCCTGTAGTTTGCCAACTCCTCGTTCGAGGCCCCGACGGCGTAGCCGTGGATGAACTTTATCTTCGTAGCCTTCGTCGTCGTCCCCGGGAGTTCGAGGATCGAGGATCCAGATCTGTGGGCGTGTCATCCCGAGACCGTTGTCGCCACGGCTGCCCGCGGCTCGAAAGACTGCCCAGGATGGGTCCCGGGTGGCACCTGGGGACAACTCTTGATTGGGCTGCTGTCGTCGGCGTCGTCGTTCTGTTGCGTGTCATCTTCGGGGTATCTTACCTGTCCCATTGCGCCGATAGTCGCGTCGGTAGTCGCGTCGAGTCCACGCCGGCTCCGCGAATCCTTGTCGAGTCCGCGTCGGATCCTTGTCGGACGCCAGAACATATCGCCATCTAAAGGACGAGAAAGCGCGTTCCGCGGGCGCTTGCTTGAAAAAAATGCCCCCCCCACCCCCGTGGGGGACGGGGACACTCTCCTCCCTGAATTCGAACCATGGGGGGGAAAGGCGACGACGACGATGACGACGACAACGGCGCCGACGACGACACGACAGCGAAGACAACGACGACAACGAGGCCGCGCCGACGACGACGACGAAGATGCCGACGCCGACGCCGGCGACGCTGACGCCGACGCCGACGACGCCGAGTACGATGCCGACGACGACAACGCCGACAACGACGCCGACGACGACATCGCCGACAACGACGCCGAGCACGACGCCAATCACGACGCCGACAAAAACGCCGAGGCCGGCGCCGAGCACGACGCCTGCGCCGATGCCGAGTATGACGACGCCGACGACGACAACGCCAACGAAGATCACGACGCCAATCACGACGCCGAACACGACGCCGTCGCCGATGTCGACGACGACGACGCCGACAACGATGCCGAGCATGAGGCCGCCGAGCGCGACGCCGACGCCGACGACTCCCACGCCGACAACGACGCCAGCGCCGGCACCTGCGCCGACGCCGACGAAGAGCACGACGCCGAGCACGACGCCGACGCCGACAACGACGCAAACGCCGTCGCGGCGCCGACGCCGACGAAAAGCACGACGCCTACAACGACGACGAGAACGACGCCGACGTCGACGACGACGCCGGCGCTGACGCCAACACCGACACCGACGCCGACGTCGACGACGACGACAACGCCGACGCCGACGCCGCCAACGACGACGACGCCGCCGAGCACGACGCTGACGCCGATGCCAGCGACGACGACGCTGAGCACGACGCCGAGCACGACGACGACGTCAACGTCGACGACGCCGGCGCTGACGCCGACACTGATGCCGACGTTGACGACGACGACAACGCCGCTCCGACGCCGCCGACGACGACGACAACGACGACGACGCCGACGCCGACAACGACGCCGATCACGACGCCGATCACGACGCCGCCGCGGGCGAAGACGACGACGCCGAGCACGACGCTGAGCACGACGCCGAGCACGACGCCGAGCACGACGCTGACGATGCCGACGCCGACAACGACGCCAGCGTCGACGCCGACGACGACGCCGACGAAGGGACAACGCCGAGCACGACGCCGACCTCGGCGCCGACGCCGCCGACGCCGACAACGACGCCGATCACGCCGATCACGCCGATCACGACGCCTACCACAACGCCGAACACGACACCAACAACGACGCCGACGTCAGAGCCGACGCCGAATCCGGCGCCGATGCCAAAGACGACGACGACGCACAACGCCGACACCGACACCGACGCCGACGTCGACGCCAACGCTGACGCCGACACCGACGCCGACGCTGACGTCGACGACGACGACGCCGACGGCACCGACGGCACCGACGGCGACGACGACGCCGACGCCGACGCCATCGACGACGATGGCAATGACGACGCCGACGACGACGACGCCGACAACGACGCCGACACCAGCGATTAAGACGACAACGACGACGGCGCCGCTCAACGGTGGAAAAATCCCCTCACTCCTCCCCCCGGTTTTCGAACCCAGGGGGGACCTTACAAGCGACCACGGAAACCGCTCTTCCTAAAGGACAGACGTCGGGGATGGACAGAAATTCCTTTAGTAAAACGTGGTTTAGTGAAAACGATGTCGGGCCCAAACCTGGCGGGCGCAAGCCTGGAAAATGACGGCCGCGTCGCCCTCTCGAGAACCGAAAACGGACAATGCACTAATCCACGTGTCAGGGTGGGGCTTCTGCCCACCCCCGAAGACAGGGTCCCCCGGAGGTGCAGCGCAGACCTCGACGCCCGTCACGAAGTGGTTGCTCGTCGCGCGGCACTCGCACAAGCCCGCCTTCGTCGTCCAGCCGCCCGCGCAAGCCCGCGGCACGTCCGAGCAGTTGCCGGAGCTGGGGCGGGGCACCCGCAGCGTGTGGGTTTCCCGGTAGGCCGTCGGGAAGAACATGTTTTTTTCGCCCACCTCGCGGTGAAGGCATGGGCTGAGGGACCATTGGATGAGGAATCCAGGGTCTGGGAGGCAGTGAAGCTCCAATCGTGGATTGGCCGTGGGTTTTACCGCCGCCCTCGTCAGGTAAGGGATCCTCCAGGGTCTGACGTCTCATGGGCGCATTCCTTAGCCAACGCCCCCAACCAGACAGGCTGGACGAACAGCGATGGCCCCCCCCTCCCTTCGTGGCGACAAATAGGGGACGAAGAATGACATGAACATAAAAACTCGGAGGTCCACGCGGACTTGTCGGATCGGCGCTGGAACCCCCTCCCTGACGCGCGGAGCGCGCCAAGGTCGGCGCATGAGGCGCCGCCAGGGGGTCCAGCGCGGATCCGAGAAATCCGCGTCGATTGTTATATTTATATTGTTCTTCGTTCTCCTTTTCCAGGCCGGACGAACAGCGATGGACCACCCCTCCCTTGGTGGCAAAACAAATCACGACGGAATGCTTGCTGGACAGGTTCGGCTTCGCCGCCGCCGGCGTCGTCGTCGCCGTCCCCCTTCAGGGTCGGCGGCACAGGCTGCTAGGCCTTCCCAATATCAAGACGGAAGGCTTGCTGGCCAGGTTCGGCTTCGGGGGCCCACAGGGCGGTCAACGACTCGGGATTGGGAAGCCCGTCCCTGGGCAACGGTCTAGACTCTAGACCTCCGGGGGTCCGCATCGCGGCAAAGCACGACGCTCGAGATCTGGGCATAGCCCAAGGGGGCCGAGCGAATCAATTCGCGTAGCTGGCTTGCCGGGCGCCTGCCGGCGCCGCAGAGGGGGCCATGTCAAGGAAAGCACCTGGCGGCGGGGCAGAAGCCAGCTGCATGCAGCAGCTCTCGTGACCCCCCTTTCCCCATTTCCCCCCGTTTGTCCGAACCCGACCTTCGTCCATCTCTCCTCCCTCGTCGGGGAATGGCACGAGTAGTCCTCGTACCGCCAGTAGTCCGAAAACGCGTAATCGTACGTCTCTGTCTTGGTACAGAGCGAACTTTCCCAGTCCGCGCTGTCCTCTGCATCGTAATCTGCTTCCAGCGTGTCATCCCAATGACCCAGAAGGCTGAAACTCGAGGGCTCGAGTGTTCTGTGCCAGGAACTATTTGTAAAGATGAGTAGTGCCACGGCTCCGAGACAAAACATCTGAAGCAACCGCAAGAATATCCCGAGCCGGACGTTCTTGATGACAATCTTCCTAGGGATCTCCACGCTCTCGATGCAACTGTAGGCCTGGGCCCCAAATAATTTCAAGCTGCTCGAGAAGAGAGACATCGCAGCAAGCTGGAAAAACCGCGGCGTGTCCAAACGGAGTCGACGACCGCAGGAGTGGGAGTCTCTCGTAGAGCCAAACGGCAGCCTCCATTGCAGGCAATATTGTTACCCATATCCAGTGCGTCTTGGACTTTCTTCGAAGGGGCGCCACAAGGCCGAGGCGTGCTGGATATGGGTAAAGCTCGAGCATCCAGGGGGGCAGATGTCTATCAATATCCAAGGCGCCTCGGGTTTCTGGCGAGGGGGGGCCGAAACTCCAAGCTGCAATGGATATGGGCACAAGTATTGGTCGCATCCATGCGCAAACATCCGACATGACTTCGTTGTGGTGCTCCTTGTCCGAAGGTAGGAGCGAAGGCCCATTCGGGGGCAGGCTCTCCTCCTGCTGCCTCTCCTCCTGCGGCCTATTTTTGCGTGAGGCAGACTTCGAGCGGAGCTCGTGGCGCCGTGCAACATGACTCTTATGGGTAAGCGATGGAAAAGTCCCAGAGATAACCACCTGCAACTCAGTAATCTATGATGTTACAGAGTGCCAGGAGGTGATAAGAGAGGCGCCTTGTGCGGCTTCTTATCCTCCTTCCTCTCCTGCTGCGCTCACGGGCGTATGCTCACAGGCAACCACGTCCAGGTAGGGATGCGCGCATAGCGAGGGCCCTGGAACCATCGCCAACTAAAGTGTCATCTTTTTTCCTCGAGCCTGCCACCTCATATCACAGCACAGTGCAGCAAACAGTATCGGGGGCGGCCAAGAGGGGGGCGGGGGGGCGCAAATCATGGTAGGCCGCATGAGAGCGGCCCAGGGGGGGGCCGGGGACGTATTCAAACAAGAGGCGCCATGAAATCTGGGGAGATATCATGGCCCCCGCCATTATATCCCCCCCCTCCCTAGTCATGGTTTCCCCCGGGGCCGTAGGTGACCCGAGGAGGAGGAGGTGGAGGGGGAGGAGGCGGAGGGGGAGGGGGAGGGGGAGATGGAGGGGGAGGAGGAGGAGGAGAACGGGTCGCCTAAGGCCTTCGCAGAAACCCTCCACGCCATGCACGCGAGACACCATCTCATGAAGAATCCCCCCTCCGTCCTTCGAGCGAGCACGGGCGCAGATAGGCATGGCGACTGTGCCCTCGTCGTCGTCGTCGTCGCCATCCAGGGTCGGCGGCACTGGCCGTCAGGCCTTCGCAATCTGATCTGCCCTCCGCCCGTGAGGGTGGTGTACTAACCAACCGGCCCGCTGGGCGGTGGTATGACGGCTCTTCTCTTCTCTCTTCCAAGCCCTCTCTTTCCCATGTCCGGGGCGGGATTCATCACTGCTCCTTGGTAATGTACACCCCCTCCCCCACCCGACCAGCGACAAACCCGGGACCATGACGACCTTCCCCCACCACCCCTTGCAAAACAACATGCAACATGAACTTTGCCCCAACATCTGGATCCTACGCGGACGCACCGCGAACACTCTGCATTGGCTCTGACAAGGACGGCGGGAGGGCAGGCATATTACCTGCTGTGTGCAATGCAAACACCCCCCCCCGTCCCTGGCAACAAAGAACCCCAGACATGCGACGTCCTGATTTTGCAGGACGGCGTCCCCGGAAGTCCCTACCCTTTCCCTGGGGCCGGTTTGTCATCCTGAATCGTTTTTTGACGGTCCCGGGGCCCAGCGAGGGCCCCCAGGGGTCGAAAAAAGAGAAAAACCTTCGTCCTGACTTTTTACGGCGCGATCATGTCTGCGAGTGCAACATGCTCTTTTTGTTACCCAACATCTGGATCATGTGCGGCCGCCCTGTGACCGCTTGGCACGACTTTTTTTGAGTGGGGCGGCGGAGGGCCGGCAAATATCTCCTGCTGTATGCAGTGTCAACACTTCCTAACCCATCCATGCCCAAGCACTTTGCAAAACGTACGCTGCGGCAAAGTCTGGATCATGCGCTGGCACCAAGCAATCACGTTGCATTGCTGTTTTTGAACAGGAGCGAAGGGGGTGCCAGGATACTGCCTGCTGCGCACAGGCCCATCATCGCTGGATGGGGGTGCCCTGGCACGCGCGGCGCACCTCGCGGGCGTCGCGCACCTGGCTGGCGTCTGCACTGGTTGCCGATCATAATCGATAACGGCCCCTGCCCATGCTGAGACTCGAGTGCTACTTTTGTGGTGAGAGGGCGGGTGGGATTGAGCAACACGGCCGTCCTTCAGGGGGGGGGGAGCTTGACAACTTGCCCCATCGCCTCCCCCGGGTCTGGACGGGGGGGATGCGAGCAGCTAGAAAACTCAAGATGGCTCCAAGATGGCCCCCCGATGCGCCAAGATGGCCTCCAAGGTGACACACGCAAGAGAGCCGAACACGGTTCCATCGAGCCTTCGGTATGCCTCCGAGGAGGCCCCGCGGCGCCCCCGAGGAGAGCCCTCGGAGCGCTGCCAGGAACTCTCCAAGAGGCCGACAGCTTCCACTCCTGACAGCCATCGCTGGATGCGTGCCCTCTCGCAGTTACGCCTCTGGCGGGCCTCTTGAGGCCTCAAGGTGGCCCTAAGATGGCCCAAAGAGCGTCCCGAGACGGGGCCCAAGGCGGCCGCAGTAGCGCCCCAGAGGGCCCCAGGCGCGCTTTCTTTCTTTCTTTCTAGCTCATGAGGACCAGATCCGAAGGAGAGCACTGGCAACGCGAAATCGAAGCGAAAAAGCGTAGCACTCTTAACTGCCCACGGGGTTGTTCCCTGAGGAGGCTTAACCTACGAAGCCGACGTAAACTGCTAAAAGATACGATCCACTCTCGGCCAGATGCCGCACGGACCCTGCCAGCACAAGCCCGATGCACGCAGCACCCCGAAGGCTCGGCTAGCCTAAGGTACGTGGACCCTTGCCTTTGCTGGGACCTCTACCTCTCGAGCGACCATGCTTTCCTTTCCCCCCTCCTCGCGGCCTCCTAGGGATATTTACTGTCGGAGGGCCGTCCAAAAAATTCGGAGGATCAAAAACTGCCTGCTGTGCATTCGAGCTTTGAGTGAGAGGAGGAGCCGAAGACGAGGACGGAAGGGAGGAGGAAGCAGGGGGAAGAACAAAGCCTCTTGACCTCAGCTCAGCCAGGCGCGAACTCGTCTGTAGGTCTCTCGGGAGCCCTTCTACCTCTTCGAGTGCTCGTCGACATATTTGCTGAGGATCCTCTCGAGCGGGCCGCGCGGCGGGGCGCCAACCAGCCTCTTTCCACCCTCGAACTCCACGAGCTGGACGAGCCACCTCTGCACCTCCGTGTAGTGGCTGTGGCGTGGGTCCGCGTACCACATCAGTGTGCACATCGGTGTGGAGCCCTCCTCCTTCTTGTGTACTTTCACCCTGAAGTGCGTGATCAGTTGGCCGACCGCGTTCGGACCGTCGAACTTGCTCAGCACCTCGTTGAAGAACTGCAGCATCTCCTCGCTCAGCTTGGCTTCCTCCTTTTGCGTTGAACCTGCCGACGCCGTCCTCGTAGCTCCGTATCCGAATGCTGCCATGAATATCTGGACGTGCGCCGCGCCCCTCGACTTGTGATCCTGCTTCTCGCCTGCCTTTTCCTTTGCCTTTAGGGCCGCCGAGTCGTCGTTGTACTTCTTGCCTGCTTGCTGGCTGACCGCCACCACTCCCACTGCCACTGGTAGCTCGTATTTCGTGTACAGCAGGGCGCCGAGGTCGGCGATGTCCTTCGTGTTGGTCAGCACCAGCTTCACCATGGGCAGCATGATGTCGTCCTTGCCGCCTTTGTGCTTCTTCTTGTCCCTGGCCGCGACCTCGCCCTTTTCCTCCTGTTCGTCTGGTTTGCGCCCGCCTCCAGCGGTGATGGACTGGCTGCACCACGACGGCATGACGAGCTTCGGTTCCTGATCCATCCCCTCTGGCATACCTGCTGGCTGGTTGGCTCTCTGGGGTCGGTCCAATACTGCCTGGCAAGTGGTTCGACACGAGATGGCTGCAAAGATCATCGAGGGTGCCGCCTTCGTATTCACAGCATAAACATTGTAGTGATCTGGGCATTTTGAGAGGAAGGAGGGTGCGTGCTGCTTCTCTTTGACAGTGCCCACGTTTGAGTGCGCGCGATAAATGCTGTGCTGCTGTTCTCTGCGACGCGAATGTTTGACGACAACTGATACAAATATTCGTCGGAGTGATAACGAAGTAGAGGTTACGAACATGATGTGCCGACTTTATGCGTGATAAATACGCTGGCCTCGTAAGAAAAATGGCCCCGCATTCAACCCCATTTTTACTATGCCTGCATATGAAGCCTTCCGATGGATCCCGCTCATGTGGCGGAACGACAACTGGTGACGAAGCCCGCTCTTGGAATCCTGGTGGCGGGATCCGCCTGCCGAACTCTCGGCTCCTCAGCTCCGTGAAATCAATCTTACAGAAATCCTCCATCGCTTCCTTGTCAGCGAAGAGGGCTAGATTCAAAGCAATCGGCTCGATCATGCAATCTGGCAATAACTCTGCTGCTTGGTCCAAGTCCGCGGCCATTTGCTGCAGCCACGGCGAGGCGTATTGGGATGGACGTCCTGCGCAAAGCTGCGGCCTAGTGTCGAACTGAAACTCACCGAAAAGAGCAACTAGCACCTGGGTATGGTGCTCAGGACGTCGACCCCACGTCTGATAAAGCTTTAGGCGCCTAATCCTCATCTCCTGGTTACAGGGAAGTATTTTCCAGAACCATAGGATTTCTTTATTAGTGAGGCTCGTGATATGCTCCCCTCATAGTTAGCCGCTTTCCCACCCATTGCTGCTCTCCCCAATCGGCTTAAACGCGAGTCCAGGATGTCATAGTCGAATTTAGACAGCGGGAAACTCTCCAAACCAGATAGCAAAGCGTTTTGAACAAACCCGATGAATAAGCATCTCCTCCACCTCCTCGCTAGTCCCGTTAGCTTCCACATTCCACTAAGAGAGTGAAAACCAGTACGTGCAGCAGCGCATCTACGAACAACTTCGTTCCTAGCCGAGTCCCGCATGGTAATGAATGGCCCCAGGTAACGAGCTTCCTCC